GTTCAGCACTGACCAGGGACAGGGGAAGGACTGAACAGACCCGGGGCGTGATCTAGGGCTTCTCTCCAGGCTTCTTGTCCCGCTCTGCCCTCCCTCGCGCCCCTGCGCCCGGTACTGCGCGAGCGGCCAGGCTCCCCAGAGGAGTCCGTGCAGCTGGGATGAAGGCAATGCAGCATCTTCCTGCCGGCCGGCTGGGCTGGGCTTCTGCGTCCCGCTGTCAGTGACGAGGGCTGTCCAGGCTCACGGCAGGAGATAGGGAATCAGGCTCTTGGGTTTCCTAGTCCTAACCCTTCCACTGTGACCATGAGCAAGTTGCACTTGTAGTGCCTCAGTTTCCCCAGGTGCAGCGTGTCTGCTCTGTTGCGATAAGCTTGGGGACACATGCCAAGAATCGACCGAGGGCCTCTTGCAGCGAACGCACGCCGAGAGCGAAAGGCCTCGGCACTGGCACGGAGCGTTCGGCCCACCCCGCAGGTAGCAGGTGTCCCTACTCGCCCCGGGTTTGGCTCTTTGTTTCGCGTGGTCCCAAGAGCTGAGACGAGCCTGCTGGGAACCGCAGAACTTGGCTTTTGGCTCCAGCTGAGAATTGATCTTGTCCCTACAGCCGAGTTTTTCTGTTACAAGAGTCAGCGTCTCTGTACCCTAAAGCCGCCTTCACAGCCAGACCAGCTGGGCTCCTCGAGTTCCCGGTCTCTCAGAAGAGGCTGGAAAGGGAGGTGCTGAATCCACGTCAGCAGCCCCTGGTTTCACTTCCCAGCCTGCTGTGCATGCCAGGGAGCATGTGTGTGTGCCGTGTGCGTCTGCGCGGCTGGGTTTGTCGGGGAGACTCGGAGAGCGCTCGGCTGGGACCCAGGAGGGACTCGGTGTGGGACGTCTGGTGCTTTCTTGTAACAGGGCCTGGGGCTTGCTCAGCATCTTCCTGCACTGGGAAAGGGGATGTGCACAAGCATGCCGCATGTGTGTGCTCTTCAGCACATGGAAACGTACCCTGGGAGTTCCTGCGGGGGGACGTCTTTCTGGCAAGGAGGAAGCAGCAGAGCGTTTCTCTTGAAATCAGGCAGATCTTTTAAGGTCCCTGGTGTGTGTAAGCATTGGTGCCGGTCTGTCCTGGGGGATCTGGACCGGTCCGCAGGCCACCGTGTGATGAAACAAGCTGCTGAGATGCGGCCTTACCTGTAACCGGCCCAGATCCACCTGGGTGCAGGCCTGATGCACTGGAACGAGAACGGGAAAGCAGGTGTTCCCACCATGCCGCCAGCCAGTCCCTTGGCACTGATCGACCTCCCCTCGTCCTGGGGAAGGCCCCGGATCAGGAGCTGAGGCAGCTGGTGCCACGGGAAGGTTGGATCCAGGAGCCTGGGAGGTAGCGCCGCAGTCTCCAAGGCGGCTGGTCAGGCGCCCGTCTCTGGCGGAGTGGAGCAGCGAGCTCCTGTGCTGGGAAAAGGCATCGCTGCAGCCCCGGCCGTGGCCTTTCATCGCTCGCGGGGCCTACGGGACTGACACGGCAACCTCCCTCGGGGCTCAAGCGCGCAGCTCGCGAAGCCTCCCCAGGTGGAGGAGCAAGCGGGGGGGCGGCGGCTGGGGGGGCTGGTCAGGCGCCCGTCTCTGGCGGAGTGGAGCAGCGAGCTCCTGTGCTGGGAAAAGGCATCGCTGCAGCCCCGGCCGTGGCCTTTCATCGCTCGCGGGGCCTACGGGACTGACACGGCAACCTCCCTCGGGGCTCAAGCGCGCAGCTCGCGAAGCCTCCCCAGGTGGAGGAGCAAGCGGGGGGGCGGCGGCTGGGGGGGAGGGAGGCCTGGGGATTCGTCTCTGTGCACAGGGCCCGAGATGACACCAGCAGTGGGGAAATGCTGCAGATGTGAGAATCCGTCGGTGGGAGCAGCACCACCTGTGCCCCGCCCATCCCGAGGGATCCCAGCTCACTCCGTGGGGCTGCGCTGTGCCCGCCCCCGCCCTCGCTCAAAGCCCCTCTCTCTCTCGTTGCAGGTGGGGGGACCCAGCTCCGCACCCGGCGCACGGCGTGGCTGACTGATCTGGGCGTCCGCCCTGGGAGCGTGGCGGAGGCGGAGGAGGCGGGGGCAGCGCACCGTGCGCGAGCTGCCGCGGGGGGCGACTCGAGCGCGAAGCCTGAGGAGGGGGTGGGCCACCCGCCTCACCATGATTCAGCTGTGGAAAGTCGTGCGGCATGTGCGACAGCTGGAGCTCCACAGACTGGTCCTGCTGCTCATCGCTTTCAGCCTGGTCTCCATGTGCTTCCTGGCCTACTACGTCACCAACAGCCCCAAAATCAAGGAGCCCCCACCCCTGCCATTCAGCTAATGCGCCCGGCACCGCAAGCAGCTGGCGGCTCCCCAAGTCCATCGACACCTCGCGCACCGAGCCGGTGGTGCTCGTCTTTGTGGAGAGCATTTACTCCCAGCTGGGGCAGGAAATCGTGGCCATCCTGGAGTCCAGCCGCTTTAAGTACAGGACGGAGATCGCCCCGGGCAAGGGGGATGTGCCCACCCTGACAGACAAGGACCGGGGCCGCTATGCTCTGATCGTCTACGAGAACGTCCTGAAATACGTGAACCTGGACGCCTGGAACCGGGAGCTGCTGGACAAGTACTGCGTGGAGTACGGCGTGGGCATCGTGGGCTTCTTCCGAGCCAACGAGAACAGCCTGCTGAGTGCTCAGCTCAAGGGGTTCCCCCTCTTCCTGCACTCGAACCTCGGGCTCCGGGACTGTCACATCAACCCTGGCGCCCCCCTGCTCTACGTCACCCGGGCCAATGAGGTGGAGCAGGGCCCGCTGCCCGGGGACGATTGGACCGTCTTCCAGTCCAACCACAGCACCTACGAGCCGGTGCTCTTGGCCAGCACCAAGTCTTCCGAGTCCATTGCACACCTGGCCGCCCACAGGGCACTGCACGCCACGGTGGTGCAGGACCTGGGTCTGCACGATGGGATCCAGCGTGTGCTCTTCGGCAACAACCTCAACTTCTGGCTGCACAAGCTGGTCTTCGTGGACGCCATCGCCTACCTGACGGGCAAGCGCCTGTGCCTCGCGCTGGACCGCTACGTGCTCGTGGACATCGACGACATCTTCGTGGGCAAAGAGGGCACCCGCATGAAGGTGTCTGATGTGGAGGTAAAGCCCGGAGCTAGGGCCGTCCCCCAGGAGCCACAGGCTGCCAGGGCCAGGTGCAGCGTTGCATTCTGGGACTCTGGCCCTCCTAGGCTGCACTTGGCTCCTGAGGAAATTCTGCACCAGACACAGTGTAAAAGTTCTGGGCAACATGGAGCCCTCCTCGAAACGCTGCAAGTAGATAAACGTGGCCCCAGCCTGCAGGGGGGAGCGCAGGCCGCTGGCTGCACGAAGGTGGGGGCTCACCCTGCAGCTTCTCCCCTCCCGCGACATGGGAGTAGCGGTGAGGCTGCAGCCGGCCCTGACGCAGTGGAAGGGCTGGGCCTGCCCGCTCCTGCCAGGTGTGGGCCAGGCAGGCTCCAAGCAGGGCTCTCCCTGTGGGGCAGCCTGGGTGCAGGCAGCTCAGTGGGGTGGCGCAGGGCGAGCTGGGTGCACAGAGGCTCCAGGCGGGAGGGGGCTGTTCCCAGTCCCAGGGCAGTGGGCCTCTCCTGGGGTCTCCAGGACGCAGTGCCGGGGGCTGAGTGGGGAGGCTCTGGGCGCGGGTGAAGTGGGGCTTGCTGGGGATCTGGGTGCCGCTGGTTGGGGGTCATTGCGGTGGAGGTCAGGGAGAGGGGTTTCTCTGGGTGGAGGTGAGTGCAGCGAGCTCAGTGGGGAGTGCCCTAGGTGCACAAGTGGGGGCCAGTCCCACCCTTGCCTCGCAGGGGAAGAGGGAGCTGCCTCCC